GGGGGGAGGAAATATTAGCTATTTTTTGAAAAAAGGTGGGAGGGTTAGTGTGGGTAAGGGCGGTAAGAGTATAAGACGTGGAAGAGATGGGAAGAGGAAACTTTTCTCAAAAATTTTGGAAAATTTTCAAAAATTTTAAAAAGTTGCCGTTTCACCTCTTTTATATGATCGCGGTGCTTGACTGTAACTGACAGTAGTCGGTTCTGACTCTTTGTCGCTTAGCCTTGTCTAGGATGGCCCAAAAGGTACCTCTTCACTCTTGGATACAAGACAGTATCCCATCTATTCAAATAAATAGCTAAATAGGTAAATTTGTGTCCACATAGTCAGCACTCGGTAATCTACCGTATACATCTGTCGGGTATCATCCGGTACATGTGGATGACCTAGTGCTCGGTGTTGGTTTGCGCTGATGCGTATGTACCTGGCGCAGGGCCGGCGCGCTTTGTTGGACGACGAGAGGAGAGCGAATCGCAGATCTAAAAAGTTCTATGAATTGCATTGCTCAGTGGGGGATGATGCCTGAGAAGAAAAATCGCCTGACTGCTGCGAAAGATTCGTTCCCGTTCGGTATCTAACTATGCGATCGCACGCACTATCGTAGGGGATCATTATCGCGCATTGTCGTTTTGTTGCAGTGTTGACTTCATTTTTTTGTTTCAGTCGCCTGTGCCAGGTCACCACATGAATCACTTCAACTTTGCTCTGCTTTATGAATCTGTATCTCATGCTGGCTCAGTGGTAGGAAGCGCCGTTATCATCCGCAACGTCCGTAGATCGAGCTCTGCACAGGCCAGCTACGGGCTTGATCATGGCGAAATCCCAACTAATACCAAGAAAACCCGGAAGTAACAGAGATTTCTGCACTAACCACTGCCCGTAGCTGGGAGTAAGGGGAATGTCTGCTTTATCCACTGATCCTTTCTTATCCCTGAGGCAGATTTGACTCGTGGTACACCTCCGTATGACGCGGAGGTGCTCAGAACTCGCGCTAAAGGCACCTGCGCCAAATGGTTGTCAAGATGCTGGCGTCTATACCGCCGGCGCCAAGCGCTTTCTCACAGAAGAGACGTGATTTTCAAATCCTACTGCTTAGACTACCCTTGAGAAGCGAAATCCTCACTGAATTCAACAACTTCAACCCTTTCCTACCCCACCTATCTAAGGATTTGGGCCCTGACCCACCTATTCAAGATTCACCTATTCAAGGTTGGAGCTGATGTAACTCAATAAAATATAACGAAGAAAAGAATTTTCTGAGAAACATCACCCCAATCTTAAAAAGGTGGGGCAGGAAAAGCTTAACAGCGACAAAATTTCAACTGCACCCCAACTTTCTCAGCTAGAACACTGTGGAGATGAGACACGTTCCAGCAGACTTACGACCTGAACAAAAGTCGAATACGGGGCGCATTCCAGAAAAGATCGACAACTGTCGATCAGCAAAGCCAAGTTTCGGCATCGAACTCATTTTTAGAGCCAACAGAAGCCATACTTTGCTCAAAGAGTACCATGTAGATAGAAGAGTTTTCTTTATGGGATGCGCCATGCGCTCAGCATCTTCCGAACCGTTTTTGAATCCGATTTGGTCTGCACATGTGTACTTTAGGAGCGGGTTCCTTCTATGGACAAATCAGTGCCACATTTTGTGGGACCAGCCTGGCCACCACTTGGGGGCCAGTTGA